TTTCAGTGCTTCTCCACTATCCTAATGATCTTTTATGACTCCCTGCTCCCTTTCAGGGTCATAAAATCCTCTTACAGTCTATATACTTGATACAAAGAGGAGGTTTTTCAGGTAAAACCAGTAAATCCAAACTGTGCCATTGACGGGGCAACCTTGCATCCTGTTGAAGAGGCATAACCTCAGGTGACTGGCAGATTACTTTGGCAAATAGGTTTCTTTTCACTGTTGCAGAGCAGACTCACTTGTCCTGTTGTTAGCTGTGATTGATATCCTTCAGAGACAATCTATTTTCTCTGATACTCCATGGCACCTTCATCAACACAACTTCAGGCACAGCATAGCTTTTCTGATCTATACATCTACTGCATAAATGAAAAAGCTGATCAAATTATGAAAGGCTTGTGAATGTGCTGTATCACGGTTATACAAAAAGCTGTAGTCTAGATGTTGGTAACTACTGGTACCCTTCAGGAATTTTGCTGGCAAGATAAATAATCTTACTGTGAAGTTGCATGTGTTGAGAATACATCACTATATAGTGTTTCATTATTGTAAGAATACTTTGTGCTATATATAATGGTGCAAAGTTACTGAGCCTAAAAAAGGTTCAGGACTTGAGGCAAAATATGGGCTAGAAAGACATTTGGCCATACCTCTAGAAAATAAACTACCAGTTTGATTTTGATTTGGGTGACAACATAGGGGAAAAAGAAGGGGAAAAAAACCCTATATGTAAAGAAAAGTTGACCATACATGTAAGTAGCCTGTGACCAGTTTAAAATAGGCCTGATCTCAGAGAGAAATGCAATGAAATTCCTACCTGATTTTGCTAACCTGGAGGAGACCCATTACCAGATCTTCTGCAACCTGGCCTAGTGCTCTGCTTGCATGAACTGTACCTGACATTGTCTGACTGCATCAGTGGAAATTATACCTTAAAGCAATACAGTCTATTAATTTTGCCATTCAGAAGTAGTTTTAGCATGAACCTTCCTCTTTCTGTAATGTACATTTCAACAAACAATATACCAAGTGAATAGAAACTGGGACTATTTAATATAGCACTGGTAGGCTATAGCATATTTTTCACATATGCACCAGCAACTCTTGTTGGGCACTGATCCACCTGCCTTGTTCAAGGATTTATGGGAAACTTTAATAATGCTGTCTATTGCTGTGTGCAGGTGTGTGCAAAAGCAGTGGGTGGCTAAATATAACCTGGTTTGCTTTGCAGTAATAGATGGATGTATGAGCTAACTCCTATCTTTTTTTTCTTCTCTCCTTCCCCCTCTCTCTTCAAACTAGAATGCTACAGACAGCTCTTCTAATTCTTCTCAAAAGAGGGAACAGCCTATACGGACATTAGCCTCCCCTACATCCTGCGAGCATCATAGAATTCGCACTCGTGGTCACATCCATGACCCGTATAGCTCTGACCACTACCACCTAGAACAAGTGAGGTTCTTTAATTGCTGGCTAAAGGGATTCTGTCAGATAATATGATGTCAAAGGGGGGGGGGGGCAGTTCCCCTATGCATTTTTTTTTTTTTTTT